TCATGCTCGGCGCCTGTGCGTGCATGCCCAAGATCCCGAGAGGAGAATAGAGGAGAAGGAATTGCAGCAAGGCCATCCCCTTTGGGGGGTGATTTCTCACTTTCTGTCTCTCTGGCTCTCTCTGTCTCTTTGGTAAGTGTATGTGCCCTAGAGCAAAAATCTCTCTCTCTCTCTCAAAAAAAAAAAATTAAACTGTCCAATTCTAGGTCCCATAAGTTCATTAAGGGATTTTTGGAGCTACCAAGTCTTCAGCCAAAGAAACAGATTTTGTGGTAGAACATCATGCACTAAAGCAGATTTACAGACAGACTTTTATGTATGCCTACACCCGCCATGCTCTGCTTTCTCACTCAGCCAGAAGAATGCACAGATTTAAGATTCTCTGCCTAAACCCTCCACCTGTGTATATATCTCAAAAACCTATTAACAGTCTCAGCTGCACCTCAGTGCAAAGAACCTGCCATTAAGTAAGGCAGCGGAAGCCAACTGCTGGCATTTCAGACTGGAGATGCAGGTCTTCGTGGAGCCCTTTGTGAGTGCAATATTTTCTTCTAAAATGAAGTGTCTGCAACGTAACCTTTTGCGACAGGGAAAGGCTTCAGAATAGTAACTGGAGAGAGGAACTAGCTGGAAAGAGGAGCTCTCAGTGTCTAAAGCTGCAGTTGCCCATCTGTGGGTGACCAGATGTCTGCTGTGTAACTTTGGAGGTCCTTGGAGAACCATGAAGCAGCAACCGCAGTAACCACACATTCAGAAAGGCAGACAAAGCAAGAACCCTGAATTAAAGGCCATTTGCACTGAGGTTTATCTTATTACTTCGGCATGCGGATGACACTCTCGGTTTTGGTGTATTGATTTTATCTTTAATCGCACAAATTATTGTATAGGTGAAGACAAGATGTGCTCCACAGCCTGCTTAAGCCAACCAGGGAGCCTCCTTTAGTGCTGGCCCCAGACCCGTTCAATAAGCCATGTTTACATAATTGGCATCTTGGCATACACAGTCCTGCCCTTTCAGCTATTCACATATTTTATGACAGAGGAACCGCTTGTTGCTATGAGTGCACTGCTTGGCCCACACATTCAAGAACTATCTGTTGAATGAATAGTATGAATTGTGTGTGTGTATGCGTGTGTGTGCGTGTGTGTGTGTTTGTGTGTGTATATATGCTTTTAGACCAAGCCTTCTATTTTGAGATCTTCCTGCTTCAGCCCCCTGAGTAGCTGGGACTACAGGCATGTGCCACCGTGCCTGTTTTTCAGGATGGGTGGGGAACCGAACCCAGATCTCCCCAATAGCCTCAGCTTGCTGAGCAGCATCCAGCCTGCACAAACACAGGTAGGCCAGTCTACATTCTGTCTGGTTGTCACGGAAGGTGACATGATAGCTTTCACTACTCATAAAACATATGACTGTAGAACGTCGTCATCTACTTAGAAAAAGCTTTCCCTATCGGATGTTCACTTTTCACTATAACAGGGCACAACTAATACTTTTATACGCGTAGAAGTTTTCTCCCACTTTATGATTATTTTCTCGGGATAAAGTCTCAGCATGCCCTTTTCATGGTTCTTAATACGTGTGAACAGCCAAACTGCTACTCCACAATGGCATGCAGAGGAAATAGTCCTAAAAATTAAAGTCTTAAAATACAAGTAAGTTTTTATTTATTGAGTAGATAACAAGTGAGACTTCAGTGTTAGTGAACTTGCAACTCTCATTATTAGGTTGCATATTATCCTGAATTTAGCTGCTTATGCTACTTCTTCTAGCTTGTTATCAGTTTATATTTCTTATTTTTGTAACAATGATCTTAATATTTTGTCATACTTGTTTTCTTTTAAGAATTATTTTATTTAAATTTATTTAGTTTTTTATTTTAATTTAACCAAATAGAGAGAGAGAGAGAAAGTGAGAAAGCAAACTGCCAGGTCCAGGACTCAAACCGTGGTAGGCCATGAGGGAGTCCAGTGCCCTTAACCACTATGCCAACTGCCGGCCCCTATTTGGTCATATTTGGTGCAAATATTTTATTTAGCCTACCTAACTTTATATGTGGTAATCTTTTTGTGTATGAGTTTTAAAACTTATGTAGTCAAATTCTATAGATCTCAACATTCTTTTCCAAATACTTATGAAAGTCTTTATTTGTATGTTGTTAAAAAATGTTTTAACACATAAATCTTTCAGCCAGTAAGAAATTATTTTAGCATTGCTGTGACTTATACATAAAATATTCAAGCATTATTTCTTGAAACTGCTAACCTATGATAGCATGATTAGCCCTACCAACTATTTGTCTCTTTTATCAAATATTGAACGAGCTTTATTTCAGAGTATTGTATTCTCTTCTAAGTATTCCAACTTATTACATGCTGTTCTATTCATCAGTCTATTTATATAACAGATCTACACTATTCTAATAACTTTTTGTTTCCATTTTACTCACATAGTTAATACTTACACATTGTTACTCATTGTTCCACGATACTATATATATATATTTTTTTTTTAGAGAGTTTTCTGCTACAGGGCGCGTGTGCTCGCCAGAAAGACAGAGACAGACAGAGAGACAGAAAGCGAGAAATCACCCCCCAGGGGGGATGGCTACGCCGCAATCCCTTCTCCTCCATTCTCCTCTCAGGATCTTGGGCACACACGCACATGCGCCCGCGTGAGTTTTAAGCCACCGGGTCCAGGACTCGAACCGCAGTCGACTATGTGGGAGTCCAGCGACATAGCCATTACGCCAACTGCTGGTCCCTTCAAGTGTTCATTCTTGAATATCAGATCAATCATTTTAGTCAACTTTTGAGAAAAAAAATAATTCCCCTGGGATTATATTACACGCATAGCTGGGAAATGATACTTTAATTTTTCTAAGACTATGACATATTTGAACATGTATGGGAATCTTTGACACCTAGAAGTTTTAATGCTTTCTTGACAAAAGTCACATACAACATTTAAGTTTCTTTGTAAGCATCTCACACATAACTGGGAATGAGTCCCCTTTTTCACTGTTTTCTTTTTTTTTCTTAGAGAGATTTTTTTTTTTTTTGCTATAGGGCACATGCACTCACCAGAGAGACACACAGAGAGAAATAGACAGACAGAAGTGAGAAATCACCCAACCCCAGGCGGGATGGCCCCATTGTAATCTCTTCTCCTCCATTCTCCCCTTGGGATTTTGGACAAGGCGGCCCATGTGCTCGCCTTGAGTTTTAAGCCACTGGGTCCAGGACTCAAACCACGGTCAACTGCATGGCAGTCCAGTGACGTAACCATTACACCATCTGCTGGTCCCCAATATATTTTCTAACCTGATATTGCCAATACAAATATGGTGTACATTTTTGAATATTTATCTTGAGTTCTTCACTAAAAGAACTTTTACTAATTTTAATGAATTATTCTATTATAATTATTATTAACTATCTTCCTTAGTTCGGTGGGATGACTTCTGGCAACACTTAAAATGTTATCCCTCTCCATCTCAGAATGGAAGACCCAGGTTAAGTGTGGCCCTGGTTTCCAAAACAACCAAAAATGCTAGAATGGGTAATCATAGTGATTTAATTTTTTATCTGTCAAAAATTGAAAAAGAGTTAAAATAATCCAGGCAGATTAGTGCAATGTTGAAATAATGATTGTCTATTAGAAAAATAAGATATCTAAAGGTTAATCTTGGAGTGAAGTTGTAGTTTTCTCCTGATTTTATGACTCTTTAATTTTTTGGGCAAAGTGGTCTAAGTAAGAAGAAATTGATACATCAATGAGTTATGATGTGAGTTTAAAATAACTACGCTGACAACCCTAGTACACAAAATACATTTATAATAAAATTCAATTTCTCATACTTGATATTCTACCTGTCTTCTCTCTAAAGTGTTTAACTCTGTTAGTGCTAGATAGGAACATAAAAGAAACTTATTTTGATAGTGTTTCTAAGCTTTTATTTTTCAAATTTTGTTCTCCCACAAAACAGACGAGTATCGTGAGAACAAACGAAGCAAGATCGAGGTATTTTCCTCTTTGTTACTCTTATGTCAAAGGCCGAAGAAGAGAGAGGGTGCATTTTCAACAACCCAGAAGAGGAGATGTCAGTCTGGTCTAGCCTCTGATTGGAAAGCAACAAAAATGCAATTAATTTTTGACTGAGAGGGGCCCTGTTCTCTGCAGAGATGCAAAGCATCCACGGGCACGGCTGGGAATAATGACGGGCATGGGAGCTATTGTCCTAGCAGGAGACTGCCCTGTAAGATGAACCGTCTAGTGTCGAGGCAGTCCCCTGGGTACAGTGGCTGGCTTCCAGGAAGGCTTTTACCACGTTACAAAGTTATGCACTTGCAGATGACCAGAGGGTAAATCTTTAAGAATTCAGCAAGTACACTAACAAGTGCTTACCTTTTGAAAGCTGGCGCTGGAAAGAACGCACACCTGGATAATACTTATTAAATTAAGCCTCGACTCACTAGCTACCTGCAAGAGGTCCATGAATAAACTAACCTCTCCTGTTATGGAACTGACTTCCAGTTCAATAGAAGATGTTTATATATTGTAAGACTTGTTTCTCCCCCAAAGAACTCAGCAATATGCAATTGTGATTAGTCTCAAATGTGAATTTGAGGTAAAATACGTAAACGTTTAACAGCAGAATTCTAGCTTTTCTTTTTACTAGGACAGATGATTAAAGCACAAAAGTACAACACAAAACAGTTCGCAGTGAAATAAAATCTATGGAAACAGTATCAAAATATCCTATGAAAGGAACAAAAAGTTCTGGATGTTGCTATTCAAAATAATAGCCTTTCTATAATATTGCAATTATAGTAAAAGGCCATGACTTAACTGAAGACTCCTTGCATATCTGCAACATTGATTACAAAATAGCTTTCAGATTAGTGGAATTCGTGTTATTTGCTTATATAAAAATTACATCTACTAGAGCACATCTATGTATCTCTTCCCCTGAAACAAAATAAAAATCAATGCCTACCTTTTCCCAGTGAACAATTTCCCAAGCACCATTTCTCAGAACTAGAAAGAGAGAAAGTGACATTTTTAGGAACAGTTTTTTACTTCCTATGAAGACGTACTTTATTTCCGTACAAAGTGAAGAAATGACCAGTTAACATGACAGCATCAAACAAAACAACTTTTATAGGTTTAAAAACTAATTATGGGGACCAGCAGTTGGCGTAATGGCTATGTCGCTGGACTCCCACGTAGTCGACCGCAGTTTGCGTCCTGGACCCGGTGGCTTGAACTCACGCAGGGAGCGTGTGTGTGCGTACCCAAGATCCCGAGAGGAGAATGGAGGAGAAGGGATTGCGATTGAACATGGAGTACTCGGGGCTTGAAGCTCAGAGAAAAAGCCATGGATTTAGCTGCTACCTCTAACTGTGCCTAGCAGAATCTTCCTCAAAATTACAAGGAATAGAAATTAAATGAGCACATGCTTCATTTTAATAAGAATTCAACAAAGAACGCTGTTCCAATCAACTATACCCAAAATTAACCAAAGCAGAAAGACTGGGCTATAAATCTGCGTTCATTTGACTTAGAAAAAAGATTGTTCAATAGCATCTAGAGTTCTTTTTTTTTCCATTTATTTCCTTCTAATCCTAAATCCTATTAAACAGTCACCCAATTGCAAATACTTAGGTTTTGTTTGTTTTCTACAGAAATCAGGTTCAGTACCACTAAAGTCAAGTGATAAGACAAGAAAATGAAAAGGTCAGTTTAGACATGATGACTGAGTGCTGGGGATGTATGGTCCAACATGGTGATGGCAGCTAATGATAGAATATTGGGTTGTTGCGGGACCAGGAGGTAACGTAATGGCTATGTCACTGGACTCCCATGTAGTCGACCGCGGTTTGAGTCCCAGACCCGGTGGCTTAAACTCACACTGGGCACGTGTGCGTGCGTGCCCAAGATTCCAAAAGGAGAATGGAGGAGAAGGGATTGCGATGTGGCCATCCCCCCTGGGGATTGATTTCCCGCTTTCTATCTCTCTGTCTCTCTCTGTCTTTCTGCTGAGTGCATGCGCCCTACAGGGAAAAACCTCTCAAAAAAAAAAAAATATTGGGTTGTTGGAAAAGTTACAGCGTATTTTTCTACATTTTTCTATGCAAAAAGATGTCATGACTTTTCTGATAACTCAGTACATTAGATAGCTGGTCCTTTGTATCTGCAGGTTCGACATCCACCGACCAGCCCACCTGAGATGGAAAACGTCGTGTTGCTGAGACGCTCCATAGTTAGTTTACAATCACTGCATCCGTACTGAACAGGAGAGATTTCCTTTCCTTATTCCCTAAAGAACACAGTGTAACTACTCTTTTTTCTTTTTTTTCTTTTTTTCTTTTCTTTTTTTTTGAAAGGTCCTTCACTATAGGGCGCGTGCGCTCGCCAGACAGACAGAGAGAGACAGAGAGACAGAAAGCAAGAAATCATCCCCCAGAGGGGATGGCCACGCCGCAATCCCTTCTCCTCCATTCTCCTCTTGGGATCTTGGGCACGCACGCACACGCGCCCGGCGTGGGTTTTAAGCCACCGGGTCTGGGATGTGAACCGCGGTCGACTACGTGGGAGTCCAGCGACATAGTCATTACGCTAACTGCTGGTTCCCACAGTGTAACTACTCTTTACAACACAAGTACAGCTTAGTAGATATTACATATTGTGAGTCATCTAGACATGATCCAAAGCACATGGGAGGAGTTACATGCAAATGCTCCTCTATTTTACATAAGGGACGAGAGCACCTGCAGATTTTGGTACCTGAGGTCCTGGAACCGAACACCTGCAGATACTAAGGGATGAATGTACACTCAACAACTGCTGACAGAGTAGTTCTTAAATGTTCTTGCCACAGGAAAAAATGCGTACGGGAGGTGACCGATAGGTTGATTAGCTTGATTTAATCATTTCACAACATACAGCTATGTCAACATCTCTCATTATATACATAAATGTAACTGTACGTATCCAAAAATGACAGCAATGATTATAACATAGTAAATAATATAAAAGATCTATGAGCAAAAAAGAAAGAAAAACAATGACTACATCAGGCTCATCTGAGGGGCTCAGAAGGTCAGGCAATTTGGGGTTCAATTCCCCCATGGTGACAAGTGGCTGGGATAGAGCAGCAGCCACCTCTTTAAATGGGGCTCACTGGTTCCCCCTGTTTGGGGTCCTCATCTGGCCCATGATCACAGGGTTTTCTTTTTCAACCTAAGTATAACTTACAACAAAATGAACAAATTTGAACTGTCCTTTAATGAGTTCTGAGAACTACAAACACTTTCGCAAGTCCCACTCAGAACAAGACCCAGAACTCCAGAAAGATCCTTTATGCTCCTTTGCAAGCCATCCCTTTGCCCCAAAGACAAGTATATATTAGTCACTACAGAGTCATCCGAGCTCACATGCAGGAATCATACCTTATGTATGTATTTTTGTATTGCCCTTTCTTTTTTTTTTGGGGGGGGGAGGTTTTCGCTATAGGGCGTGTGCGCTTGCCAGACAGACAGAGAAAGACATAGAGACAGAAAGTGAGAAATCACCCCCCAGGGGGGATGGTCACGCCGCAATCCCTTCTCCTCCATTCTCCTCTAGGGATCGTGGGCATGCACGCACACGCGCCCGGCGTGAGTTTTAAGCCACCGGGTCCGGGACGCGAACCGCGGTCGACTATGTGGGAGTCCAGCGACATAGCCATTATGCCAACTGCTGGTTCCCATGTATTGCCCTTTCAATCAGCACATCTGACATCCTCTTAAAAGGTTTTTCTTTCCTGCTTTAAACTGACATAGAACTATGAGAAGCAATTTCTGGACTCCATATTTATTCCAATCGTTTATCTTCACAATACTATACACCATCTTGGTTATCAGCACTATAACTATGTAAGTCTTGAAATTAGATAGTGTAAGCACTCCAACTTTTGTCTTTTTTCAATATTATTTTGGCTCTTCTAGATCCTTTGCATTCCCATATTTTTTTTCTTTATTTTTGTTTTGAGCAATGTTTCTTTCTAAGAATAATTTTATCTAACTTATCTATTTATTTTTAATTTTATCAGAGAGAGACAGGGTGAGAACAAGGCAGGGGGCTGGGGAGGACAGTGAGAAAGCAAGCCGCCAGGTCTAGGACTTGAACCATGGTCAGTCATGTTGGAATCCAGCGCCCTTAACCACCACGCCACCTGCTAGCCCCTCCAAATTTTCTATTCAAACTGTTAATTCTTAAAGTAACACATATACACACACCACTCCTGGAGTTTGACTTGAGGCTCAAATCTTTCAATTCATAGAGTAGCTATAATCTCTCCATTTGTCTACCATAATTTCTCTTAGGTAGGTTTTGTAGTTTTCAGTGAATGAGTATTTTATAAAGTTTGTTTATTGATATCTGATGTTTTCTCTGAATATTATAAGTGATATTTTCTATCCTTTTTTTTTTTTTTTTTTGAG